AACAAAAAAAAGAAATTTTAATTTTTTTCCCCTATCACTTTATGCGATTATTTTCAAAACTTTATGGTTAATTTAAATCTTTTCTCCAAAAAAAAATAATAATAGAAATGGGGGGAAAAAAACAAAACAATATAATTATGAAAAGATGAAGTCAAGCAATAAATGATTTGCGCAATTTTCCTGCATGACATCATCATCATCATCATCATCATTAGTATTTCATTGTATAACATTTGCGCATTTTATTTAGCACATTTTCACTGTCCACCAAATGAATATACACTTTTGAATGCATATTACTGCAAAAATCTCCTAATAGTTTTTTGCTTCAACCGGATTTCCTTTTCTAATATTCATTTCATCTTTCCGGAAATTTACCATATTGCTTCTGAAAAGAAATGATTATAAATGACAAATATTTTTGATGATTTCATTGAAACTATTATAGTTTCTAGATTACCGGATATGCTTGAACTTGATTAAGGGATAAATGGATTATTGGATTGAATCTTCATAACCGTAAAAGTTGAATTTGAAATAAAAGTGGCGAATGGCGAGTGATAGATATTTGTTGATATGAAATTTTGATTAAAATTGAAATTTACAAAATTAAATAAAATTATTCATTTAACCTTTTTGATTCAAATTTGTACAACAAATATGAATGAATGATAAAACTGCAATAGTAACTGTTAAAAATATTGTTCAAATTCAGGTTTCCAACCACCAAAAAAAAAAAAAAAAAAGTAATAAAAGATTTTATTGAATGATCAAGTTGCGAAATACCACAAAAAAAAAAGGAAAAATTGAATTTTATGAGGAGCACTCAAAAATTATAAAATAATCACAAACTATCACAATGAAATTTTTATACTTTCCGGTAAAATTAATTTGAATTACAATAAAAAATCCGGAAAAGAATTACAATAAAAAATCCGGAAAAAAAACAAATAAATTTGGAATCAATTCGTGGCAAATTAAAAACAATTTCTAGTTTAATTAATAAAAACAAGAAAACTTTTCACTATTGTCTAATAATTATTATGAAAAAGAAAAGGAAATTTTTGAACTAATTTTTTTTCTTTCTTAAATAACAAACAATGACTCAATTTCTATGAAACCAGGTTTTCTTTTTTTTTCTGAATTATACTTTTAAAATTACAATTCAAGAAAATAATTGGTCTAGAAAACAAAAATAATGAATGTTGTCAAAGAATGTTTTATCAAATGTCGCATAAACATTTACAAATCATTTCATATAAAATGTTAAAATTGGATAATCTCTGATCATACAGATTTAATTATAATTCCAATTTATAAATGGATGGATAAATCGATAAACTGATAAATAAATTATTATTTATCATTTTAAGCTCTGGCTCTTTAAAATCATACGGCTTTTCTGGTGGTCCAACTGATTCACCAAGCAATTCATAGTAGATATAGGGAGTACGCTGAGGACAAGAACAATATTCAGAGTCAATATCCGATCTTCCTGATTCATCAGGTCTTAAATATAGGATTTCTAAAACAATATGTACGCTTCAGTTTTACAGAGTTCTGATATATAAAATGTAAATGTTTTATGTTTAAATAATCACTTTATTGATTATTTTTGAAACGATGGACAAGAATAGAAGAGGTAAATGATTTCAAATTATAAAAAAAAAAAAAATGATTTCAAATTATTTTATCGATAGGTACTAGTGATGAAAATATTTTTCACATCGTAGATGACATTTAAATATGATAATTTTGAAATCATTTTTGATAAGAAGAAAAGAAATCGTTCAAATATGATAAATTTTGTAATCACATAAATGAAGAAGCATGCTAATACTGTAGCTCAGACTAATTTGTAGTTAATTTAATTTATCACTGATTTCCTGATAATATTATGATTTTATTAGCTATATGAGAGAAAAAAAAAAGAAGAAGATATTTACATGCTCCATTGATGATAACGATAATTAATTCGATGAAATTATAAATGTTCAGAGAGTAGAGGTTAAAGATTTAAGATTATTAATTCATGAAATGATATTGGAATTGATAATTGATATATCGAATCATATAATTTGATTACAAGTAATGATCTTGAACAGATGTATGGATGATTGTAGAAAAAAATTAGAAATGAATGGATTAGGGTTTACTTCATACTCTTATCAATCAGTTCTAAGAAAATTAATCTGATGGTAACTTTTCAGTTATTTTAATCTTAAAATTAAGTAAAATTTAATTTTGTTTAAAATATGATATAAGTTATTTCCTTTGATTAGAAGAACAGATAGAGATAATTAGAGGACTATTTCAAGTAATTAGAATGGATAAAACGGATAGAATATTGGAGATGTCATCATTATTATTGTTATCGTACAATAATTCTCTCTCTCTCTCTCTCTCTCT